AGGCCGAGGCGGGTGGATCACGAGGTCAAGATATCGAGACCATCCTGGTCAACATGGTGAAACCCCGTCTCTACTAAAGATACAAAAAATTAGCTGGGCACGGTGGCGCGTGCCTGTAATCCCAGCTACTCAGGAGGCTGAGGCAGGAGAATTGCCTGAACCCAGGAGGTGGAGGTTGCGGTGAGCCGAGATTGCGCCATTGCACTCCAGTCTGGGTAACAAGAGCGAAACTCCGTCTCAAAAAAATAAATAAAATAAATAAAAAATTTAAACATTTAAAAATTAAAAAAAAAAAAAAAAGAAAAGAAAATGGACAAGAGGCTCCCGGTTGTGTTCCCGTTCCAAGACTTTCTTGCCCAGAGCACTGAGGCCCAGATGGGAACCACCAAAATAGGGCAGAGGCCACATCAGAGTCCACGCCTTACCTCATTTTTTGGAACTCCCCAGCTCCTTCCAGATAAAACCTCCATCTGCCCTTCTAGTGACATGACTTTGCTTTCACTTGCTTTTCTAACTGCCCCCCTTGTCCCTCTCAAAGCCCTGGACTCTTCGAAGTCCCTGTCCTCCTGCCACGGAGCCCACCTTCCACCCATCAACACTGACTTGCCTCCCCCGCCACGTCCCCACCCAGAAGCCCGAATTTCATGTTTCCTCTTTCATCACTCATGCCTCAGTGTCTCCATTCAGCACTTACTACATTAGAAATTCAAACAAAAGAAAATAACTTTAGTAATCAATTTTTTACAAAAAAAAAAAAACAACAAAACTTCTTGTACTTTCTGAAAACACAGAGAAGTGTAGAGAAGAAAACCAAAGCCTTAAAATGCTTCACTCCTAGAAAGCCACTGCCAAAGCTGAAGCACGTCCCTGCCTGTGTCTCAGCGCAGACACACACCAATAAATCCATATGTCCAACTCCACAGAAGCAGGATCTCTTTGCGGTGGCCGCTTGTTTGTCCATTAGTGTGACATGGAGAACTTTCCCTGTCAATACAAACACCCAGTTGTGGGAAAGTACTCCATGGGACCCACAGAGTCTAATCTAATTCTTCAGTTCCCTATTAATGGACATTTAGATGATTTCCAACTTTTTTTTTTTTTTTTTTTTTTTGGAGACAGAGTTTTGCTCTTGTTGCCCGGGCTGGCAATGGTGCGATCTTGACTTACTGCAATTTCTGCCCCCAGGTTCAAGAGATTCTCCTACCTCAGCCTCCTGAGTAACTGGGATTACAGGTGCGCGCCAACATGGCCGGCTAATTTTTGTATTTTTAGTAGAGACAAGTTTCGCCATGTTGGCCAGGCTGGTCTTGACCTCCTGACCTCAGGTGATTCACCCACCTCGGCCTCCCAAAGTGCTAGGATTACAGGCATGAGCCACCCCGCTCAGCCCGATTTCCAACTTTTTATTTTAACAAACAAGACAGGATTGTCCAATGTCTACTTTGAACCAATGGTAATCATAAAGGTAGTAACTACAGTGCATTCCGCACGGTTTACACACCTGGCATTGCTCCAAGCACTTTATACACAGTTACTCACGCCTCCCCACCAAACTGTAACATGGGTACTGTGAGTGCCCATTTTACAGGCAGGTACAGTGAGGCACGGAGTTTATGCTACAGGTCAAAAGTTAGTAATGGGCAGTGCCTTCATAGCCAACTTGCCCACACTCAGGAAAATGTTTCTAATCTTTTGATAATCTAATGAGGTGTTGCAGAAAATCTCAATGTTGCTTTTATTTTCATTTTTGTTACTCAGAAATTGATTTTGATTTCTGTTTTTTTCTAAGTGTTGATAAGCCATTAGCATTCTTTGCTTTTTTTTTTTAAAGAGATGGATTCTCCCTCTGTCACCCAGGCTGGAGTACAGTGGTGCAATCATAGCTCACTGCAACTTTGAACTCCGGGGCTCAGGTGGTCCTCCTACCTCAGCCGCCTCAGTAGCTAAGACTTACAGGTGCACATCGCCATGCCCAACTAACTTATTTCTACTTTTATTAATTTTTCTTTTGTAGAGATGTGGTCGGACTGTGTTGCCCAGGCTGGTCTTGAACTCCTGATGTCATGTGATCCTCCCACCTCAGCCTCTCAAATAGTTGGAATTACAGGCATGAGCCCAGCCTTAATTTTTTAATGAATTACTTATCCATGTCTTTTTCTCATTTTTCAACTGAGGCCTTCACACTTTATTGATTTATTATAGTGCTTCATACACTGTGGAAGTAGCCCTTTGTTTTAGAGAGGGAGGCCCTGTGGGCAGGGATTGTCTCATCCTCACCACCTTTTCCTCAGCCTGACACAGAGTCAGTTGCCAATATCTGAGGTTCCAGGAGGCATGACACCTCATCGTTCAAAAGGGGGCGCTGGAAGCTCCTAGCACTTGATAGGGGCACCACCAATTTACCATTGACTCCAATGTCTGGTCTGCCCCCTTGGCCCAAATAATACCTCCCTGTGTTTGCTCAGAGCTTATAGAGTTCACAGGATGGACGTCCTCACACATTCATTTGATCTAATGCACATGCCGCCAGGCGAGCAGGTGTGATGGATGCATGAGACCCTTGTTAGAAATGACAAGACGAAGACGGGCTCATAACATATAACGCGACAAAGCACCCACGGCCAAGACCAAGGTCCAACACGCGGCTTCTTGGTCCAAGGCTCACCTGCTCCATCTCTGAGTAACAAATCAGAGGCCTCTTGCAACCTCAGTGTGCTAGTCAGAAGAATGGGTGGAATTTTCTGCCTGCAGAAAACAGGGACCTCTACAGGCCTGGCTCTCTGACACACATGGAGATGGGCACACAGCAGGCCTTGCCCCCGCCCCATTCCCCGCCCAGTTGGGCCAGGGCTGTGAGCCAGGCCAGCCTGCCTGTCAGAGAGCTCCCAGGGAGGGAGCCCCAGGAGCAGCCAGCAGCAGGCGGGCGGCACAAGGGCCCCTTTGTGCCTGTTGCTAAGGGCCCGGCTGTATTTACTCAGCCTCAGTAAACAGGAGGTGCTGAGGCCCTGCTCTGTTATGACAACTTCAACGGCATCTGCTTTCCTTCCTCAGGCTGCTCAGGCCCCAGGTAGCTACAGGTGCGTCCCCACAGTGGAGGGGGCTTCCCTGGGGCTGAGCTGGAGCTGAGGGACAGCGCTGGGGAGTATCAGAAGGGTCACTCGGCTCAGCCCCTGAGATGCTGATGGGGACGATGACACTGGAGGGGGGTCCCTGGCCCAAGGTCACAGAGGAGGGTAAGGCCAAAGCAGGCCTGACAGCTGCGGTCTGTCCTCTGCACAGCTATGATCTGGGAAGAGTCCACCTGTCCCTCAAACGCTAGTGTCAGCGGTAGGCTAGGTCCCCAGGACATTCCCAGGGAGGTTAGAAGGAGGCTGCCCAGCTCACCTCCACCCAGAAGTGTCTGGAACCAGGCCCTTGGAGGCTGAGAACAACCTGAGCTATGGTCATTTTTTAAGGGTCTTAATGTCTTACCAACACATGGAGATCATGTTATAAGAATCATAACATTGGCTGGGTACGGTAGCTGATGCCTGTAATCCCGGCACTATGGGAGGCCAAGGTGGGCAGATCACTAGGTCAGAAGTTCGAGACCAGTCTGGCTAACATAATGAAACCCAGTCTCTACTAAAAAAAAAAAAAAAAGCCAGGTGTGGTGGTGTGCACCTGTAATCCCAGCTACTTGGAAAGCTGAGGCAGGAGAATCACGTGAACCTGGGAGGCAGAGGTTGCCCAGAACCAAGATCACACCACTGCACTCCAGCCCAGGTGACAATGTGAGACTCTGTCTCAAATAAAAAAGGGAGGCCGAGGTGGATGGATCATGAGGTCAAGAGATCGAGACTATCCTGGCCAACATAGTGAAACCTCGTCTCTAAAAATACAAAAATTAGCTAGGCATGGTGGTGTGCACCTGTAGTCCCAGCTACTGGGGAGGCTGAGACAGGAGAATTGCTTGAACCTGGGAGGCGGAGGTTGCAGTGAGTTAAGCTCACACCACTGCACTCCAGCCTGGCAACAGAGCAAGACTCTGCCTCAAAAAAAAAAAAAAAAAAAAAAAAAAGAATCATAATATTGTTTGTAATGCTTACGATGAACAATTAACACTTTCAGCCCCTTCTGGGGCAAGAGCCTAGTGGTAGCTACCAAGTAGTTACAGGATTTATTTCCGACACATCCAGGTTGAGGGGCCATAGGAAGTGCCCAGGTGATGGGACCCTCGCTGGTGGCTGTAAAACAAACTTCCCCTGGCCCTGCAGACTTCCTGGTTGGGCCTGGAGCTGTAACCTCCTTTAAAGAGAATGTCAAAGGCTTATGTTTGAGGCCCTCAGTACGCCAGAAGCCTCCTGTGACACGCCCTGCCCAAGATGGCCAGCAGCCAGGACTCCGGGGTGACCTTCAGCCAGTGCCCACCCTCTCTGACTCCCTTCCTCCTAGGGAGGGGTGAGCTTTGCTGGGGCTCTGTCTCTCCCCACACTGAGGACTCAGGAGGGCTTGGTGGAGGCTTTTCTGGACTGGAAACTGATTTCCAAGAATCCTCGTGACTCCTGGGCTGGTGCCTGGGGGCTTCTGCCAGGCAGGGGAGCTTCTCCTGCTGGAGTCCCACCCTCTTCTCCTGCTGGAGTCCCACCCTCTTCTCCTGCTGCACACAAAGGCTCTGTGTACTTTGGCATGGCCTGGACTCCAGGCAGGGAATCCTTTGGGGAGCCCAGCTGCCGTGTGGACTTCCTTTTAGGTGAGGACAACCTATCCTGGGGAGGCCTCTTTGCCCCAGGGCCACCCTGTTCTGGCAAACAACCCACAGCTCAGGGCTCAACCTGGGGTGGCTGCGATCCTGGCCCACTGTTCTTTAAAAGAGCCAGCTCTGGCTCTCAGCCTGGCAGGGGAAGGTCAGGGGCACACAAGGGCACACAGGCCCCTGCCCCTGGGCTGATACGCCCGGGATTGCCCACAGGTGAAGCTCACCCTGCAGTCTGGGGACTCCCAGCGGACCCTGCACTTACCCCCCAGCACGTTGCTCTGGCAGGTTCAAATCTGTCAGTGGGAGTTTCTGAGTGAGCCACAGGCAGATGGTGAACAGCAAGGACAGAGCAGGCCATGTGGGGCTGAGCCTGCCCTGAGCCTGCCCCCAGGTCCAGCCCTCAGCCCCCAGAGCTGGCCTTATTGTCCCCATTCACAGATGGAGAATCTGGAGCTTGCAAGGCCCCAGGGAGCATGGGGAGAATGCAGGGGACAATGCTGTGTCTAGAGATGGGCCTGGAATAACCGTGTGCCCATCCCCCACAGCTGCCTTCAGAGGGAAGCCGAGAGCCCACGTGGCCATCCAGCAGCCATGTGACATCAAGCACGTTGCTAGACCTCTCTGGGCCCCAGGGTTCATAAATAGTACCCACCTTATGGAGCTGCTGGATTAGAGAATCAATCCTTCCTTCCTTCCTCTTTCTTTCTCTCTCTCTCTCTTTCTTTCTTTCTTTCTTTCTTTCTTTCTTTCTTTCTTTCTTTCTTTCTTCTTTCTTTCTTTCTTTTTCTTTCTCTCTCTCTCTCTCTCTCTCTCTCTTTCTTTCTTCTCTGTCTCTGTCACCAGGCTGGAATGCACCGGTGTGGTCTTGGTTCACTGCAACCTCCACCTTCTAGGTTCAAGTGATTCCCCTGCCTCAGCTTCCTGAGTAGCTGGGACACAGGCACAGGTCACCATGCCAGGCCAATTTTTTGTGTTTTACTAGACACAGGGTTTCACCATGTTGGCCAGGATGGTCTCGATCTCCTGACCTCATGATCCACCTGCCTCAGCCTCCCAAAGTGCTGCAATTACAGGCGTGAGCCACCGTGCCTGGCAAATTCATACTTTTTAAGCACTTAGAAAATGCCAGAAATAATAATTACATACATTTCTCAAATAAAACAAATATATGCTAACGAGATGATGACAATTAGAATGGCAACGACTACAGGATGAAACTGTGTAGGGGAAAGCAAAACAGCTCGAGCCTGCGGACCTCAGAGAGTTCTTCAGCTGAGGTTCCTGCGATTCTGGGAGGGAGTCACTGCCTAAGGGGGTCTGGGCTGTACTGGTCCCCGGACCAATGTCTGGGAGGTTCTCTGAAGGCCGGGTGGCTCAGAGCCTTCCTCCTTGGCCTTCCCTGATCCCTGCTTGGCCTGGCAACGCACCCCACAGTGCTGGTTAAGACCCTTTTCTCCTGGGCACTCAGCCCTGTGGGGGTGTGAGGTCACACATCAATCGACCTCTGCTAATCTCACCCAGGTGGGGTTCTCTGTGCGTGGCTCTGTGCTGGGCATAGGTGCTTACAGGGGACACGGTGGAAGGTCCAGCCATCAGGGTGCCCTAAGGTGAAGGGCACACTGACCCGAACACACACTGACCCTGTCGGACTTCTGTGGGGGGTGGGGGAGTAGGCAATAGGAATGATGGTCCCAGGAACAGGAGAGGCCAAATCAAAGTGGCCTCCGAGAGGCAACAGGGCTCAGCCCCTGGGGCAGGAGTGTACACTGCCCTAGGACTTAGACTACTGTCCCTGTGTCAGAGGTGACAAAGCTGGAGCTCAAAGAGGTGAAGGGACCTGCCCAAGGTCACAAAGCTAGTAAGGGCAGAGCAGCACCTCCCAAGCTCCTGGGGGTTCCGGTTGTTTCCAGGAACCAAACCTTGATCCATTCAAAAGCCAATTTTGATGTCCCTTCCTTTCCTGGGCCCTCCTTTCTGTTTTGTGTGGGGAGAAGCGACAGGAAAGAAGAGGAAGTCAGCGGGAGTCTGCTCGGACAGAAAGGAGGAACTCATGCTGATTTCCACGCCCAAGAAGGCAGGCACGGGGGCGGGGGGAGCTGGCTCTGTGGCCCTGGCTCCTGAGTTTCTTCCGGCAGAATGGTGACGGTGACGGGGGTGGGGTGAGGTGTGTGCTGGCTCACGCGAGTGACACATTGGGAGCAGAACAGCATGGTCTGATGAGAACAGCTGGGCTGTGTGCCCACCAAAGGTGAGGCAGGGTGAAGGGGGCAGTCAGAGCTGGGTGAGCCGGCAGAGATGGGAACATGGGGCCACCCGTGCCTGGCCTCGCTGCATCACGTGCAATAATGACAGTCACTGTTTGCTGCGTGCTACTGTGTGCCAAGCACTGGGCAAAGCGCCTTCTACACACTGCCTCCTCGATCCTCACAGCAGCACCAGGCGGGTGCTACTATCCCCCTTTCAGAGTAGGAAACAGACTCAGGGAGGTAAGAGATGTGGCCTTGGTCACAAAGCTGAGGTGCAAACCTGGGCGGACTCTGGAGCCTGGGCTTTGAGCCCCAGCCCCGCCCTGCCCCATCCCGTGGGTAAAAATATGGGTAACACTGATTGGCCCATATTTTCAGGCAAATACCAGTGCCAGGCTCTTTGGGCATCATTGTGCTGAGACCAGCTGAATGGGTGTGGGGGTGGGATTCACGGAAGAGCTGAGTGGAGTGGCTGCTCTCAGTCATCTTGGAAAGAAAGCCCATGAAAGAGGAGTGTCTGGGGTCCAGGAGGGAGAAGAGACTTTCTGCTCTCTCTGGGCTCACGTGTTTCCCTTCAGAGGCCTGAAGTGGTTCCGGTGGTGGCTGAGTTTTCCCAGGTCACATGGAGGCAGCTGGGAGTTAAAGACAAAACTATGCCTCAGTTTCCACCCTTGGTGGTGGAGGTGGCAGCAGGAGCTCAGAGCAGGAAACAGTTTCTAGGACAGCCAGTACTGAGGTCTGGTTTATTCAATGACATTGGCTAAGGCTGGGTAAGGAGGACTTTGTTCAGGACCAGCATGATAGGTACAGGGCCTACTGCAACAGGGTCTCACCGAGGGAGAGAGGAATTGGCTCAACTTCAAATAGCAGCTGGACAGGTGGGGATTGATAGCCGAGGGCAGGGTGGGCGTCAGTGGATGGAAAATCCCTGAGAGGAAACATCTGGTGAAACTGCTCCAACAAGATTCTTGCGGTAGGCAGGGTGACCAGACAGTACCTGTGGGATGGTGAAGGACGAGGAACCCCTTCAGGTAGTGACAGTGATCAGCCATCTAGGATAGGGGCTTCTGCCTAAACTGACTTCACAGGTTCTTTTGCTAAAACTGGATTTTACAAGGAAGTGCACAGATGGGTCTAGCAGAAGATTCAGCAGCCTGACTAAAGTTTGGCTGAGTCAGGAATCTTTGTCAAGACCATGACTGAGAAGGCCTCTGCCTCTGTTCAGGGGGCTTCTGCTCTGGCCACCCTAAGGAAGGAAGCAGCCTAAGAAGACAGGTGTCCCCATGCACCCCAAAGCCTGGGAACATGTGCAGAGGCCCGCTCCCCTGAGAAGGAGTCTCAGCAGATGCTAGAGGCGAGAGCAGAACACCACCTGCCACCTGGAGAAGCGTCCAGAGAGCACCAGAGGAAGGCAGGGCCCGGGAAATGCACAAAAGCAGTGGTGCATACTCTGAGGGGAAGGTATGAAAAGTGAGGTCTCAAAACAGGGAGACAGGAACAGTGGAGGCACCAATGACATGCCAGCAGCATTTTTTGTTCATTGTTCTTTAGGTTACACATCACCTCCAATAAGATTTTGTTACTATGTCCCACAGTCCTGGGGTTGACTGGTTCTCCCTGGGAGCCTCTCCTGCCATCACAGTGGCTGGGGCTGGAGTTGTTCTAAAGATGTCCTCATGGCTACATCTGGTGGCTAAGCCTCAGCTGAGGCAGTTGGCTGGAGCATCCACATGCAGCCTCTGTGTGGCTTGGGCTTCCTCACACCATGGTGGCAGCCTTCCTTCATTCTAAGGAACTGGGCAGAAGTGGTGTTGCCTTTCACAACTCAGTCCTGGAGGTCACATAACTTTACCTTTGACATAGTCATAGGCCTGCCAAAACTCAAGGGAAGGGACCAAAGACCCCACTTGTCAAAGGGACGGGTGTTGGCGCCATGCTGTGAGAAGCACAGTGAGATGGGAGGTATTATGGCCAGCTCTGGAAAAGACAACCACCAGACTAGTAAATATTTATTGCAAACCTACCATGAGTCAGGCACTAAACACTGGGGATCTAGATGTGAACAACAGACATGGGTCCCTACCTCATGGAACTGACGGTTCTAGTAGGAGAAGCCAGACCACTGAGCAAATAAATAAATAAATAAATAAATAAATGCAATGGCACACGTTAAGTGGAGGTGAGTGTTAAGGAGGACAAGCAGTCAAGGACCAGTGCAGCCAGGGAGAGGGCTGAGTAACATGAAGGTCCTCTCCCAGCATGCCCTGGTCCCCTCCACGGGGACATCTAGGGATAAGACTCCAGGAGCCGGATCAGCTAGAGCAGAGACACTGAGGTGGGTGGGTGTTGGGGGCTTGGGCCACAGCTCAGAAGAAGCAGGCTGGAGTTAAGGGAGGCAGAGGAGTGCGAAGCGAGGGCAGCCAGGCAGTGGGGCCAGCAGGGACACGTGGTTAGCCTTGGTGGGGACTTTGGCCTCTGCCTTAAATAAAGCAGGGACTGTGGGGAGTTTTGAGCAGAAACAGAGAACCTCTCATTCCAAGAGCAAGACTGGGTGTTTAAGAACAATTCTCCCCCACCACCATGGCACACGTTAGCCTATGTAACATATAACAAACCTACACATCCTGCACACATACCCTGGAACTTAAAAATTTTTAAAAAAGAACAATTCCCTCCACCCCCCAGCCTCTGCTTGCATGCCTCCAAGGACGCGGGACTCACTTCTTCATTGCTTATGGGGTCTTTCTTGTCGTGAATGAACATGAGCCTCTTTGCTATGTCCCCTGTATTAAGGTTCAGCTCTGGGAGTGGATCTGTCCTCATCCCTTGGTGTTTTAGATGTGGATGCCTAATTCTCTGAGTCTTCACACTGAACCAGCCCCACCCAGTTCTTTCCCCAGTCCACGTACATGATCCACTACCTCCTGAATGCTCACCATTTTGGTCATTTATATCTGTCCTTTTTCTAAACCAGGGGATGGAAACCTATAGCCCAAAGGCCAAATCTGGCCCACCACTTGTTTTTGCAAATAAAGTTTTATTGGAACACAGCCACACCCATTCATTTACTGTTGTGCATGGTTGCTTTTGTGCTATGCTGGCAGAGTAGTTGAGTTGCTACAGCGGAGACTATGTGACCCACAAAGTTTAAAATATTTACCCTCTGGCCTATTACAGAGGAAGTTTTCTGACCCTCTCCTACATGTGCGAGCCTTACATTTCATCCCAATCACTCAGCTGCTGCTGAAAGCAGATTG